AGAAAAAGAAATAATACTGTTTGTATTAACACCAGATGCAGTTGTCTTTTGTGACCGAAAGTCTCGAGGAATTTACAGAAGAAACCACTAAAACTAATAAGTGAGTTTGGCAAGATCACAGGATATAAGATCAATATATAAAACCAATCAACTTTCTTTTTAGAGACCCTTGTACTATAACTTCATTATATTCTTGTTTATTTTGTATAATTTTTGCAAACAAATACACTTGATGACATTCAGTGTTATCCCAAACTTACTTCCTTGAAAAAATAATTTATCAGAATTTATAAATACTATTCATAATAACATCAAAAAATGCAAAACTTAGGTATGAATCTGCATAGATCTCTATGGTAAAAAATACAAGACACTGATGAAAGTAATCAAAGAACTAAATATAGGGAGTAGAGATTCAATATTGTTAAGATGTCCATTATCTAGATTGACTTATAGATTCAAAGCAGGCCCAATCAAACTCCCATCTGGACTTTTGGTAGAAATGGACAAACTGACTCTAAATAGAAAAGCAAAGGAACTAGACTAGCCAAAGTAATTTTGAAAAAGTTGGAAGACTCACACTACCTGATTACAAGATTACTATAAAGCAGTTGTCCTCACTGAGGATAATTTTCCCACCCAGGGAACATTTTGCAACATCTGGAAATGATTTTTATTGTCACAATTTGGGGGGTTGGGGATGCTCCTGCTACTGGCATCTACTTGGTGGAGGCCAAGGATGCTGCTAGACATTCTGTAATGCACAGGACAGCCTCCCAAAGCAAAGAGTTATTTGGCCCAACAGATTAGAAATATCACTGCAGAGAAACCCTTCTATAAATGTACAGTAGTAATGAAGACAGTGTGGTATTGGCACAAGGATCGAGGTGTATGTTGATGGAAAAAATAGAGAAGCCAGAAATAGACCTGCACACATACGGTGAGTTGATTTTTTAATACAATTCAAAGACAATGCCATGAAAAAAGGAGAGTCTTTCATCAAATGTTGATGGAAAAATTGGGCATACCTATGGAAAAAGTAGATGTTGACCTATACTTTATAGTATATTTAAAAGTAATGAACTATAGACTTAAATGTAAAATGTGAAACTATGAAATTTCTGGAAGAAATTTCAGAAAATTTCTGACATAGGAAAAAGGACAAGGAATAGGACATAGGAAAAAGTCTGTGAGCTTGGATTAAATAAAGATTTCTTAGATATAATTTATAAAGCACAATCCAGAACATAAAAACTTGATATATTGAACTTCATCAAAATCAAAAACTTCTCTCTTCAAAAAATAATGTTAAACTCCAGAGGCAAGCTACAAGTTGGAAGAAAATTACAACTCACATGTCTGGTAAAGAACTTTTATATAAAATATATAAAGAACTCTCAAAACCCAATAATAAGAAAATCAACTACCCAATAGAGAAGTGAGCAAAAGATTTGAATAGACACTTCACCAGAGCTATACGTATGGCAGGTAGTCACATGAAAATTGACTCAGCATCATTAGTGAAGCCCCATTCAAAAGGGCTTAAATAGAAAGGTCAAATAAGTTAGTTTTCATTAGAAAATTCCAGAGAGATTGACAATGGTCAGTCCAAACGTTTAATGATACAGTTGCTTTGGGAGGAAGGGCAGACAAGCCCTGGCTATTAATAAGATGGATGCCAGCTCCAGTCAAGCTACATTCTGCCTCTCTTATGTCCAATCTAGCAACAGCACTTCTGTCTCTGAATTCCAAGCTGAGGTCCAAAAATTACCCTGAGTGGCCTATTTAGCTCATGTGTCTGCCCATGATGTAACAATGCCAGTGGCCAGTAAATAGATTTATGCTGATTACTTTAAACCTGAGCCATATGCCCCAACCCTGGAGTCATAGATAATGTTAGCTTTCCTCCAAAGTTTACGGATTTTATTTATTTTTAAGTATATTTTATTGATTATGCTATGGCAGTTGTCCCATTATTTTTCTCCCCTTTATCCCCCTGCTCCTTGCATCCTCCTCACCCACCTTGGTTCATATCCATAGGTCATACATTTAAGTTCTTTGGCTTCTCCACTTCCTGTACTATTCTTTTAACTAAAAGATTTTATTTATTTATTTTTAGAGAGAGGGGAAGGGAGGGAGAAAGAGAAGGAGAGAAACATCAATGTGTGGTTACCTCTCACATGCCCCGCACTGGGGGACCTGGCCCACAACCCAGGCATGTGCCCTGACTGGGAATTGAAGCAGTGACTTTTTGGTTCACAGGCTGGCACTCAATCCACGGAGCCACACCAGCCAGGACTCCTGTACTATTTGTAACCTCCTTCTGTCTATTTTGTACCTACCAAGTATGCATCTTATTCCCTGTAACTTCCCCCCCATTTTCTCCCTTCCCCTTCCCCACTAACAACCCACCATGTGATCTCCATTTCTGTTATTCTATTCTAGTTTTTCCCTTGGTTTGTTTTTGTGGTTGTTTTGGGGGGGTTTAGGTTCAGTTGTTGATAGTTGTGAGTTTGCTGTCATTTTACTGTTCATAGCTTTGATCTTCTTTTTCTTAGATAAGTTCCTTTAACATTTCATATAATAAGGACTTGGTGATGGAACTGTATGGAAGTGTATGGAAAGATGAACTCTTTTAACTTTACATTGTCTGGAAAACACTTTATCTGCCCTTCCATTCTAAATGATAACTTTGCTGGATAGATTAATCTTGGATTAATCTAGGTTCTTGCTTTTCATGACTTTGAATACTTCTTTCCAGCCCTTCTTGCCTATAAGGTTTCTTATGAGAAAGAAATCAACTGATAGACTTATGTGAACTCCTTTATAGGTAACTGTCTCCTTGTCTCTTGCTGCATTTAATATTCTGTCCTGCCCTGGCTGGCGTAGCTCAGTGTGGGCTGGGAACTAAAGTGTCCCAGGTTCGATTCCCCACCAGGGTACATTCCTGGATTGCAGGCCATAACCCCCATAACCCCCAGCAACCGCACACTGATGTTTCTCTCTCTCTCTCTCTCTCTCTCTCTCTCTCTCTCTCTCTCTCTCCCCTCCTTTCCCTCCCTAAAAATGGATGAATAAAATCTTAAAAAAAAAAAAAAGATTCTGCCCTTATCTTCAATCTTGGGGAATTTAATTATGATGTGTCTTTATGTGGTCCTGTTTGGATCCAGCTTCTTTGGGACTCTCTGAGCTTCCTGGACTTATATGTCAGTTTCCTTTGCCAGATTGCGGAGGTTTTCTTTCATCATTTTTTCAAATAAGTTTTTAATTTCTTGCTATTCTTCTTCTTCTGGCACCTCTGTGATTCAGATGTTATAATGTTTGAAGTTGTCCTGGAGGTTCCTAAGCCTCTCCTCATTTTTTGGAATTCTGGTTTCTTCATTCTGTTCCAGTTGAATGTTTATTTCTTCCTTTTGTTCCAAATTGTTGATTTGAGTCCTGGTTTCCTTCCCTTCACTGTTGGTTACCTGCATATTTTCCTTTATTTCACTTTGTATAGCCTTCACTTCTACTTTTTTTTTTTTTTTGGAACTATACTCAATCATTTCTGTGAGCATCCTGATTACCATTATTTTGAACTCTGCATCTGATAGGTTGTCTCCTCGTCACTTAGATTCTTTTCTGGAGTTTTGATGTGTTCTCTCATTTGGGCCATTTTTCTTTCTCTCAGCTCACCTGTTATGTTGTAAGGGGAGACACCTAGGTATTCACCAGAGCGGGGCAACCCACATCACTGGGTTGTGATACTGTATGTGAGGTGGGGTCATAGAGGGAACAAGACTGCTTGCTTGGCTCCTGCCCTGCTTTCAAGAGACTAGCAGCTTCTTCTACTACCACAACCCTCCAGGTTTCTACAGCCAGAGGTTCTGGGACTTTATTTTGACCATGCTGGAACTCTGGGTTGTGCAGTCTGCCTCTCTTCCCAGTGGTTCCTCCCAGTTTATCTGCACAAAAATATGGAACCTCCCAGTCCATCAGCTGCCAGCTTGCCTGCCTGGTCCACCAGCACCTCTTGCTGATCATCCTCTCCACCCCAGCTGCCTGTCTCCACCTCTTCTACCAGTATGGATGAATATTTCTTCTTTAATTCCTTGGTTGTCGGACTTCCATACAGTTTGATTTTCTGGCAGTTCTCGTTCTTTTTTGTTTTTTAATTTGTTGTTGTCTTTCTTTTAGCTGTGCAAGGATGTGGAGCATTATCTACCTACACCTCCATCTTGGCCAGATCTAGTTTAAAGATTTTAATAGAGGCAGGCTGACTACCCAAACTTCAGTAAATAGAAATCTCCAAGGGAAGGTGAAAAGGATTTTGGTGAGGCAGGCCTAATGCCTCCCACACACCATCGCTGAATTATTCTGGGATTTATAATTTGCATTAGCCATGCTTAGTAACTCTCCATGTCTCAGCATTGCAATCAGTCCTCAGAAAGGAAAAAAAATTTTTTTAATTATATTTATAAAAAGAGAACTAAGATCAAATATTGAGAGCCTACATGAGGCTATCAGTGTCAGTTTTTTCCTTGCAGTTAACTACTACAGACTTGTACAATGTGACCCTTCATTTCTGCTTGCAAACATGTTTGGAAAATGGCTCATTAAAAAGAACATAGTGCCCTGGCTGGTATGGCTTAGTTGGTTGGGTGTCATCCTACAAAGCAAAATGTAGCTAGTTCTATTCCTTGCCAGGACACATGCTTAGGTTGCAGGCTCAGTCCCTAACTGGGGCACGTAAGGAAGGCAGTCAATCGATGTTTCTCTCACATTGATGCTTCTCTCCTCTTTCTCCCTTCCCCTATCTCTAAAAATAAAAAATTAAAATTAAATGTAAATAAAAGAACATAGTGATGAGTTGTTAACAAGTGTGGAAATTAATTTAAAAAAATACTTCATATTTTGAAATTTTCCTCCTAGCCATCTTAGTTATTCATTCTGCAAGTAATACAATGTCATGTTCCTTATATAATACTCTTTTCTGGCTTATGGCCTTCTTCTTTGATCAGGATGTGCTCATGGAGCTCCTAGAACAGTGTGCAGATGGACTCTGGAAAGCTGAACGCTATGAGCTGATTGCTGACATCTATAAACTCATCATCCCCATTTATGAGAAGCGAAGAGATTTTGAGGTATCTGAGTGGTTTGTTTTTTCCAGTTTATAGGACAGTGGAGTGACATATATCCCCAGACTTTCTTACGTGCAAGAGAGCAGACAGACTACTGTCAGAGATAAGCAAGTGGTCTCTGACCATCCACTTGGTGATGGCGGTACCAACCTCAGAGCCAATCAGGCATTGTACACACAGGCCCCACCTCTACACAGACCCAAAATCTCCAACAACAAAGATTGGTAGTTTTGGCACTCCACTTTTGAAAGGTTGCCAGGAAAAATTTTATAATCACCAGGTGCCTTTTTTTCTTGTAACGCTTTGTTGCTCTACCTGCATGGGAAAATAGTGTCCCTTCCAGTCTTCCTGGGCTGGGAGATATTCCAGTTTCTCTTAGCATATTAAATGCAGTGGGAAAATAAAGGACTAAGAACATCATGGTAAGACTTTATCATCTCTGACATTTCATGTTAACTTGAAAGCAGAATTTGCTTACCACATTGTGGAAATTTGATGGGTCCTTATATGCAAGCTGGCCCTTTCAATAGGAAACATTACAACTCAGAGATGATCACTAACATTTGTGCAATCAAAATATATTCTTGATTTTTTAAAAAACTCAAGTTTAAGGATTTTTCACCCACATGATCTCATTTGTTATTTTTAAATTGATTTTATTAGTTACAAGTAGTAAGATACAGGTTTTGTTCTGCTTTCCAGAGGCTAGCCCATCTGTATGACACTCTACACCAGGCCTACAGCAAAGTAACTGAGGTCATGCACTCAGGCCGCAGGCTCCTGGGGACCTACTTCCGAGTGGCCTTCTTTGGACAGGTGAGCCTCCTCTCTGCTCTGTAGGCTGTCCCAAGTCCTTTTTTATTTTTTTAACTACATAAAATTGTATTTTGTAAATTTTCTTCTGCTTAATAAATGCTAATTTGATGAATTTGTCATATTTAGTATGACTCTTATCTTCCTCAGTAGTAAACTTTCTGCTTGTTTTTCTTCCTGTCTTTTCTTTATTACTTTCTTAAGGCAGCGGTAAGTTCTCCCTCCATAAGACTTTCTTAGCAGCATCTTTGATACTTCATGTGGTTTGCAAGTTTCTTTTCCAAGTCTGTATGTATATCTGTCCAGTCATTACAGACTTCAAAATAATTAACAGTTTATTTCATTTATAGAAATAAATCATCTGTGTGCTCATACATCTATACTGCATGTTTTAAACCAAAATTAAGACTGTTTCTTTTATCCCTGTGCATTTCTATGAATTGTAATATAATATCTCCACAAGTATATTTACCATTGTAATATTTCAGAAACCCTATATGAATGGGTTAATTTAAATTTAACTGAACATTTAACCTCCAACTCTCTAACATAACTAAATGATATAAATTATAATCCATTTATTTAGAATGTGTGGTTTTCTGTGAGCATTATGTAACCTTAAATTTATCCTGTTATTGTCTTTTATAACTTCATAGCAATACCAGTTTACAGACAGTGAAACAGATGTGGAGGTAATTACAGTAAATGCTTAATAAGCAAATAATGTAGTGAAATTACTGCATCTAAACTCCTATTTTGATGTGGGTTTTTTTGGTTTAATATTAGCCTGCTTTTTTAAAACACATACTGTAGTTTTGGCACCCTTTTTCCTCTTTCATTTTAGATGAGAAATGTTTTGTTTTAATTTATTTCAAATATTAACCCCAATCTGCACTTACAAATTTTCAACCTTTTTCACTTCCCATGCAGTTCTAAGCCTTGTTTTTATTCAGACATGATTGGTACTAAAGCATGATGATAATGAAAATGTTGGTGATATGATACCAGATATGACTAGTAATAATGAAAATATTTTCTGATATGCTACAGCCCTTGAATATTTTTCTCATCAGTATAGCAAAATAGAATTTATACAAACTTTACATAGCTTTTGCTGAACCTATTCCAGACCTATTTATGCCATAAAATCCTCCATAAGTGGGAACATTCAGGAGAAGGGATGTGTGTGTATTTCTGAGGCCTGTGTGAGCAGGCTTCCGAGTTCTGTTTCTTGGGAATGTGAAACAGGCTTGAATCCCATCATCAGACTTCACCGAGAGAATACAGTCTTAAATCTCCAGTCTTTCATTTCACTCAACACTTAATGACAGCATTTTTGAGTGAGTTTGCAATTGTGCGTTTTTCCTTTATCTTTGTACCCAGATTTCATGTTATTATCATTTTCCTTCCTATTTCAAAAGCCTGTTTAGTTAGGATTTTATGTTAGAGTCATTTCTCATTTTTTAACCTTTATAATACCCTTCCTGGGTGGTAGCGTTGGGCTTGTATTTGGTGATAGTTCTCTAATTGTGCTCTATGTCACAGGGATTCTTTGAAGATGAAGATGGAAAGGAGTATATTTACAAAGAACCCAAGCTCACACCTCTGTCAGAAATTTCTCAGAGACTCCTTAAACTTTACTCAGATAAATTTGGTTCTGAAAATGTCAAAATGATACAAGATTCTGGCAAGGTATGACTATGTTTGGAAACATATTATGGCAATATAATACCATTTTGATTATTCATGATTGACCACATATATTCATAAATATGCATAGAAAAAGCAAAGACCCAGGAAAAAAATCAGAATGGTTGACCTTGAGTGGCAAGTGTGTATTTTTCTTCTTAATACCTTTTCTTTCTGTGCTTTCCAGATGTCCTTCACTAAACAGATTTTTATTTTATAATTTAAAAAAGGCATTCATTTACAAATTAATGTCTAAAAGAATATACCTTTTTTGGTCCAGATATTTAGAAACTCTGTAAGAAGAGTGTCCAAGGTTCTGTTTCTCACAGCACTTCTCCCTTGCTCTTAGCACAGGCATATTTACCTGACACTCTGACTAATTGTTGGATATATGGACAGATGGACCAGCAGATGGACACATCAGGAAGTAATCTAACCAGCACACATTTGTAGAAATGAGATCTACCTTCCATATAGAGAGAGTGTATTGCTCTCATGAAGACCATTTCTAAACCTGCCTTGTTTTTCCTGTACATTTACGAGTGTGTGTCCATCCCACTGTCTTTAGGATATCTCCAGAAAGTTGGATATCCCTTTGCTTCCTGAAACTCAGGCCAAAATGGAGCTCCTGTTCTTTGCATTAAAAATGCTTCCCCTGCTCAGTTTCCAGCAATGATAACCTCTCCCTCTTTCAAAGTCCACCCTTTAGGAGGCTCTCAAGAGGTTCACTTTTGTCGTGAGCCCTGCTTTGGAGTCCCCAGTGTCTGAAATCTGGCTCCTTGGAGCCCTTCATTTCCTCTAGAGAAGAATCTTCTAGTCTTCTTCCCAAGTGGTAGGGAAGAGACAAAGAAAGGAGTGATTCTGGATTCTGGATGTAGGAGATAGGCAGGGGCTGAAGATCTCATGTTTGGTCTGCAGCCTTTTACCTACTCGCCTTATGTTTCACTCTGTACCTCATTCCTATTTTCCGCTGGCACTGGTGACCGCACTTTGACTTTCTCCAGACCAGTTTCTCCAATGAACATTCTATTCTTTTATGGGGCAAGGACTAGGGAAGGGAACCTGGGGTTCTGCTTCAGATAGACTTTTGGCCATTTGCCCTGGTTTCCACCCCATGCCTCTCCCTGGTCAACCTAATCCTAGTGCTGGTTGTCTAGAGATAACAGTCCATTCAGGCTACTCTAACAAACACCATAGACTGGCTGGTTTATAAACAACGGAGATTTATTTCTTACAGTTTCAGAGGATGGGAAGTCCAAGATCAAGGTGCTAGAAAATTCAGTATGTGGTGAGGTCCTTCTTCCTGATTCATAGGTAGCTGTCTTCTTTCTGTATCCTCACATGGTGGAAGGGCTAAGGGAGCTCTTTGGTGTCTCTTTTGAAGGGTACTAATTCCATCCTAAGGGTTCTACCCTCATGACCTAATCACCTCACACCTTCTAATACTACCACATTGGAGGTTAATGTTTCAACCTGTGAATTTGGGGGGAACATAGGCATTCAGTCTATAGCAGCAGGCTTCTCAGGGATGCTCTGACTCACTTGTTATCCCTCTCTATCAGAACTTGGATTAGAACTTCTTCTCTCTGCCAAATTAAATAACACACCTCCGTTCACCTGTCTTTCAGAAATTCATTAAAGTCTCTCATCCATAGCTGCCTTCTGTCCTCATTTCTTGGTCCTTGCACATAAATTCTATATTACCATTTTAACAGATTCACAGAAAGTAAAAGGGATAAACACATGTCGTCCATCTGTGTTTAACCAGGAACCTCAATACAACTGTATTAAGGCCTGCTTTCTTCCTAGATAAATTACTCAGGTCCAATTTGCCTTTCTCTCTGAAACTGAAACCTCTGTCTAGGTCAAGTTGTGGCTTGGAAATTATAGCCTATTCTCAAGACTCTCATGTATTCTTCTTCCCCTTTTCATATGTAGTCCTTGATGTAGCAGCTGAAAGACTTCCTAGACCTTCTCTTCCCCAAATTACCAGTTCTCCCTCCCTTCTACTGAGACACATGTACAACTTTGAAAATGAAGACTAGGGAAATACCACTAATATAATAGAGAAGAATGTTCATTTCCACTGCTTTAAATTGTTTCTGCTAAAGAAAGTTAAGTTTAATAGGTTTGAATACAATTACAGTGATTGGCCAGATGGCCCTTTCTAAAATAGAAATAACTCATGAATATGTATTTTCTTAACTTCAAAAAGTTAAGGCATTTTCACATCTGTTTCCATTTTTCTTAACAAATGTCTCTAAGAGAACAATGGTGCATGGTAACTTGAGACCAGTAAAACTGTCTTGGCTATGTTTGTTTGCCTGCACTGATGCCAATCTACTCTCCAAGCTGTCTGAATTTCTTTCATGTCCCCTTTTATTGTTCTAGAAGCTTGAATATAATTCATATGTGCAAGATTGATTTATCTCCCTAATAAATTAGCTTTGGGTTTTGTATGAAAAATGCCTATGTTTAATTTTCTAGTATGTCCCAGAAGTTAAAGCACCAGTAATTCCAGAAATGTTCTTTTAAAAGCATAATATGCTGAGTTAATCAGGAACTAAATTTATGGTTAGATTAGTTTTAGATTATTAGGTTGTACCTGTATTTAATTAATTCATCTACATCTGTTTACATCTAATCTGCCTATAGATTAATTATAATTTGGGAACCTTGGTTTTGAACATTTTTACTGAAATAAACATTTCAATGTTATGAAAACATAGCGGGGAATTAAAATTCTAGATTAAACAAGACTAAGAATACTACAAGTAAATATAAAATGTGATCATTGATAGTTTTTGGTTCAAACACAAAGAGCTATAAATAACATTCTGGGGACATTTGAGAAATTTTAATACAGACTGGGTATTGGGGTATATTAGGGAAACAGTGTTAATTTTCATAGGTATGATAATGTATTTTGGTTATGGAAAAGAATGTCCTCATATTTAGGAGATGTTGGCTGAAGTGTCATGATATATACTGCTTACTTTGAAATTGTTCAGCTAAAAATACTTCGTGTGTGTATGTATTTGAAACAAATATAGCAAAATATTAGCAATTGTTTTACGTGGTAGGTATGTTCTTTGTACTTTTTTTCAACTTATCTGAATTTGTCCAAAACTTTTGCTAATAAAAAGTAGAAAAACACAGTTTAGGCATATGTTGAAGGAGTACTTCAGCTAGCACCAATCTTCTATCTTATTTATTTATTTATTTATTTATTTAAAGATCAACCCTAAGGACCTGGATTCCAAGTATGCATATATCCAGGTGACTCACGTTATCCCATTCTTTGATGAAAAAGAATTGCAAGAAAGGAAAACGGAGTTTGAAAGATCTCACAACATTCGCCGCTTCATGTTTGAGATGCCTTTCACTCAGACTGGGAAGAGGCAAGGTGGGGTCGAGGAGCAGTGCAAACGGCGCACGATATTGACAGGTATGGTTTCCCTGGCTCCTCCCTTTAAGAATCACATCTAGATGGCAGCCTGGACACCATAGAGCTTTCTAGAAGGGATCCAGAAGCTTCTAGAATTGGAAGTTTCCTACAGGTTTAGTTAACTTTCCTCACAAATCCATTTCAGTTTAACATTTATCAAATGCTTGCTTTGGAATAGTCATGACATTTTTCTAGTTCTATGTTTGCATTTCTTCTACCAGACCAGAAGTTCATATTCAATGTCAGGTCACGTACTGTTCTTAAAATCTGATGAAAACAGCGGCATTTACCTCCTCATAATGCTTCTGCACACAATTTCAGGTGATTTACAGACTCCTTCTGAAACCCACATGGACCCCTCTTAAACCCATGGCCATCAGGTCAAGAACCCCGGTACACAGCACTGTATCTTCCTCACAGAAAGAGACCCTTTATGATCTCAGGTTCCATCATGAACATGCTCAGAGATGTTAAGCTGAGTGAATAAATAGAACATGATACTGGATCCCTTCTACCTGGTCTCTGAGAGCGGTTGGTCAATCTCAGCTTGAATACATCCAGTACCAGGAAGCTCACTGCATTCAGAGGCCACGTATACAGCTGTTATAAGGTTTTAATTATTTTTTGGTACTGTTTAGCCATCAATCAACCATTGTCAAAAATATGTTTTATACTATTTTCCAGTTCCTGATAAGTGCACAACCACATTAGGAGTGATTTTTACCTTCTTTGGGATGTCAGCAACATGGCAAGGGTAACCTAAAATAAAACACTTTGACTTAAAAAAAATCAGTGGAGAAGCCTATTCAGAAGGCCTGGTGTGTCTATATGCACAACCTAGACACATTTTTCTAAGAGTGGCGATAGTTCGATTAAACCAGGTGGTAACCAGTACTAGTCTAGGAGTCAGTGTTGTCGGTGTTCCATTGGGGTGATCACATGACACATTATAATGATAAATAAAAGAGCACTGCTATGGTATAGCATTTCAGGTGTGGCTCTGCTCTCACAATTGTATACTTCAAAGGGGTGAATTTTGTGGGATATAATTTATATCTCAATAAAGCTGTTAACAAAGAAAGTATGGCTCATTATAAAATAGCTCAGAACAGCATATTACAGAGAATTTTTACCCTTTCATGAGGGAACTGGGATAAAAGGTAAAAATTGTATTTAAAAAAACCTACATTCTTTTTTTTAATCCTCACCTGAAGGTATGTTCATTGACTTTAGAGAGAGAGGAAGAGAGAGAGAAACATTGCTGTGAGAGAAAAACATCAATCAGTTGCTTCCCATACACACCCCGACCTGAGATCAAATCTACTACCTAGGTATGTGCCCTGACTGGGAATCAAACCTGCAACCTTGTGGTGTATTGGATGATGCTCCAACTAGTTGAGCCACCTGGCCAGGGCAAAAACTTAAATTCTTAAAGAAATGGTTCCTACTCCTGCTCTTAAAATAATAAAATAACATGTAAAGCACAAACAGTATTGTCTCTCCCCTATATGTCATGAATTGTTTTTCTAATGGACACAGTAACACATTCTTCTTTAATGAGACAAGATAGCTACATTTCCAAATGGGTTCATTTAATGAGAACTGTCATCTTACAGTGTTCATCACTATAGTAGTAATGACCTTAAGTCAGTGCTTATCCAAGGTTGTTCCTGGATCTGCAGCATCAGCATCTGGAAACTTGTTAGAAATGCAAATTCTCCAGCCCAACCCAGACCTATGAATCAGAGTCTAGGGGTAGGAGGGGCAGTGAGTTGTTCACACACCCTTCAAGTGATTCTGATGCCACTCAAGTTGGAAAACTGCTGCTTTAAATAAACTCCACTCACTGATGAGTCAGGGCCAGGATTTTTTATTACGATTATTTTACTCAGGTACCATACTGATTCATGAACTGTTATTGCCGCCATAGGGTATTTTCCCTAGGCATGTTTCCTTCAGGGTTACTGTTTACCATGTTCTCACAGAAATATTTTAGATTAGATAAACAACATGAGCAAAGCTCTGTACTTGCAAGAACATAGAGGACCAAGAGTAACTCCACTCCAGGAGAGGTAAAATAGACATGTGTTGTTGGCTTGGAAAATAACCACCTTACACAGCTGGGAGGCTGAGAAAGTGTGGGCAGTGCAAAGCTTGGGCCTGGGTCTTGCAGACCTGGGTCACACTCACTTTGTGATCTTAGACAGGTCACTTAACCTCACTGTGCCTTAATTTCCTTATATCTAAAAGAGTTTTATGTTCCATCTCCTATTAAAGAACTTTGTGAATCATACCCAGGAGGGGAAAGAATATACATCATTTTGCTAAATCTCACCTACCATAGAGCACCTTGCCCCTGAGGTTGATGATAATCAAAAGGAGATTATAGTACAACACAAAAACAAGGGTGTATATCGAAAGGATAAGTTACTGGGCAGTGTAAAGATTTAGAGAGGGAGTTATAAAAATGCTACGAAAAACTATTATCAACGTTTATGGTTAAAGATACACAGACCAGGATATTCTACAAACTTTGAACTTGAGAGTTTCCTCATGTTATTAATATCTCAGGTTCTTCTTTCATTGAATTGCTTCAAACCTGACCTTTGGCTATCCAAGATGTGGGGGAGCCTGAGCCCTCTGAATCTAGCAAGTGCTCACTATTCTGGATAGTTCCGTCAGTTTCAATTTGTAATCATTTAAAAACCTAATAATTACCCTCCTGACCACTTTGGTGTACAAGACAGTTCTGACCCTACCTCCCAACATGATTTCCTCCATTTCTTCTTTCATGTAGAACCTCTGGCCTGGAGTTTCTTCCTAGTCACTTTCCCAAAGTCTTCCAAATCATGCCCAGACTCCCACTCAGTTTGGAAATACTCTCTTCCCTTCACTTTGTATTCAGTCTAATCAGACCATATAATCACTCCTCAGGCATCCCTTCCCCAACCTCCTTAAAGAGCTGCAGATCACTAGTGCAGGCCATTTATGAATAAGGTGATAAGATAGCTCACTGAGTCTATCACCTAATTTTTCACCTTCCAAGCCACTTTGCTTCTTCATTTAGCCATTTGGGCAGTAATATATTTATTAATTCAGCAAAATTTCTGGAGCACAGGCAGTGTTCCAACTTAACATACTAACAAAACAAAACTCTCTGGTTTGTGCACCTTCAATACTAGAAGGAGGAGATAAATGATAAACAGTAAATATAATGCATAAATATACCTATGTTGGAAGATAATATATATTCTAAACAAAAGCAAGAGGAGATTGGAAATGTGGAGTTAAATGTGAGGGTTGTAGTCTAAGTAGGGTGACTAGGGTAGACCTCATTGAAGAGGTGACATTTGAGTTCAGACTTGAAAGAGGGAGTAGGTTGGGAAAATATGTAGAGGGAGAAGGAGCTGTATAAGAATAAACTCTGTATTTCACATATTTGCAACTGTAAACCTACTTCTGTCCCCCCTGCCTCTTTAAATCACCAGTTATCATCACAAGAAGCAATAACTCAGGACTTCTTTGCCAAGTGAAATCAGTATAATCCATGGACATCTCATAAACATCTTGGAGTTGGTTTTTCTCTCCAAAATAGAAGTGGGACTGCACCATAGCACTCAATACTATGATAAAACTAATTGTATGTGTTTTAACTTGGCTGTCAACCTCATGGAACATTTCCACAGGTGCTTTTTTATTATAAATGGAAAAGCTGTCATACTTCTCCATAAGCTGTCTCCATAAGCTGCCCGTACTTTCTCCATAAAGCATGTCAGTCTTTCCCATCCAGGTACCCTTCTGGTCTGTAGGTCCTTTCCCCATTTCCTTGGCTAGTAAGCAGCAGTGCCCAGGTCTTACTACATTTTCAAGGGAGACTAAGATTCATCAATCCCAGTGTTGTCACTTAAAAATTCCACAAGGAATACAAAAGAAACATGAGACACAGAGCCTGACTTTACATTGATAAAATTTTTAGAGACTAAGACAGGCCAGTGAGTGTATGACAAACGACACTGCATCAGGTTGAACATTCCTCCAGCTTTGTCCAGACTTTGGGTGGCCAGTTGGAACTCTGTTCTATGGGTCTGGCCTGTTTTCTCATCTTGTGATAAGTCTTTTCTGAGTAACACCCCACCCCAGCCACTTACTAAGTAGTAACAAATTCAAACTCACACTCTCATCTTATTTTTGCTTGTTAAAGAATAGCTTTTAAGCATATACCTAAAAGTCAATTAGTAAATAGATATTAAATAAAAATAATACAGGTATTTATATACTCTATAAAGCAACAAAGTAGAAATGTGAAACAGACCCAAATTAGAACCAACTGTTTCTCTGTTCATTTTTAAACTTAACTCTTTGGTGTTGATATGTTAAGGTGTCTTATTATGATAAAATAATACTGATTTTGGGGGAGGGGTAAAAAACATATAAGAGACTTGTGGCCAAGATGGCGGCATAGGTAAACATGGCTTGCCTCTTACACAACTACATAAAAATTACAAGTAAATTATAGAACAGTCATCACTCAGAACCATCATAAATCAAGTTGAATGGAAGTCTGACAACTATGGAATTCAAAGAAACCATGTCCATCCAGACTGGTAGGAGGGGCAGAGGTGCAGAATGGGCTGGTCCCACATCTACATGTGTTGGGTCAAATTCAGGAGGAATATCTCAGGAGTGAGATATTCCTACACCAGGTCCCCCAGCCCAGGGTTCCATTGTCAGGAAGATATGTCCCCATAACTCCTAGCTACAAAACCCAGCAGGGTTGAGTCAGTGGAAAAACCTACTGGAGTACAAAGCAGATCCCTTTAAAGGACTCACACATGAACTTCCTCAGATTCACTCCCTCAGAGCTCCAGCACTGGAGTAGCAGCTTGGAAGGCACCAGTGGCATACAGGGAGAAACTGAAATGTCTGACATCAAGGTGCAAACTGGTGGACAACTTTCTCCCAGACAGAAAGGTGGGCAGAGGCCATTGTTTCTTTTCTGAACCCTTCTCTCATAGAGCCAGCAGGTTGGTGCTATATCTGAGACTCCATCAACCTGGCTAACACTATTTGCCCTACCCTGGAGATCCCCTGTGTTTCCATCCCACCCAACTTATGGCTGTTATAACAACAGTGGATTTTCCATATGAATGGCTGGTCTTGGCTCATGCTTCACAACTTCCTAAATCCTTTCAAACAAGCAAGAGCCAGCCTCGGTGAACTCCCAGCCCCTGTACCTCTTGCTAAGTGGCCCCAGGCACAGCACTAGCAGCAGCCAGCCTAGATTCACAGCTTGGCTTTGGGAATCTTCAAGCCCAGCACAAGTAGCAGCTATCTTAGATTGCTTTATAGCTCAGGCAGAATACAAATGGTGGTCAACCTTGGCCTGCACCACCCAGGAAACCCCAGGGCCTGTGCACCCAGTTGACAGCTACAGACCATGTCAGAGCACCACCACCCCGCCCTTGTATAGCTAATCCTCCATGGAGGGCAGAGGTTGGTGATAAGTGGTCACAGACAATCCTTGCAGCTGACTGGCCATGGTAAATCCCTCCCATTGACCTGCCAACAGCAGCCAATGCTCAACTACAAAGTACACTCAGCCAACACAAAGGGCGCACCTTGAGTACCCAGCTTGGGTAATAGTCAAGGCTGTGCCACTGAACCCTACAGGACACCTACTACATTATGCCACACTACCAAGACAGGAAGTCATAGCAGTTCTACCTAATACATAGAAACAAACACAGGGAGGCTGCCAGAACAAGAACACACAGAAACAGGGCCCAAATAAAAGAACAGATTAAAACTCCATAAAAAGAGCTAAACAAAATGGAGATAAGAAATCTCTCAGATGCAGAGTTTAGCACACTGTTTATAAGGACACTGAAGGAACTTATTAGTGAGTACCTTAACACCATTAAAAAGATTCAGTCAGAAACAAAGAATATACTAATTGAAATAAAGGACAATTTATGAGGAAACAACAGTACAGTGATTGAAGCCAAGAATCAAATCAATGATTCAGAACATAAGGAAGCAAAAAACAACCAATCAGAACAACAAGAAGAAAAAGGAATCCAACCCCCACTCCCTCCAAAACATTGATAGTTTAAGGAGATTCTAGGACAACTTCAAGAGGTCCAATATTCACATCATAGCGGTGTCATAAGGAGAAGAGAAAAAGCAAGAAATTGGAACTCTATTTGAAAAAATAATGAAAGAAAACTTTCCTAATTTGGTGAAGGAAATAGACATGCAAGTCCAGGAAGTAGAGAGAGTCCCAAACAAGATGGATGCAAAGAGGCCCACACCGAGATACATCATAATTAAAATGCCAAAGATTAAAGCTAAAGAGAGAATCTGAAAAGCAATGAGAGAAAAGAAGTTAGTTACCTACAGGGGAGTTCCCATAAGACTGTCGGCTGATTTCTCAAAAGAAACTTTGAGGGGTAGAAGGGATTGCCAAGAAATATTCAAAGTGATGAAAAGCAGAGACCTATAGCCAAGATTGCTATACCCAGCAAAGCTACCATTTAGAATTGAAAGGCAGATAAAGAGCTTCAAAGACAAGGAAAAACTAAAGGAATTCATCATCACCAAATCATTATTACATGAAATGTTAAAGGGCCTTATCTAAGAAAAAGAAGAAGATCAAAAGTAGGAACAATAAAATGGCAATAAATACAAATCTATCAACAATTGAATCTTAAAAAGCAAATTAAAGAAACCAGATCAGAGACAGAATCATGAATATGGGAAACGTTTTGATGGTTGCTAGATGGGAGGTGTGCATAGGGACAATGGGTAAAGAGGTGAGGGAATAAGATATACAAATAAGTAGTTACAGAATAGCCATGGGAATGTACAGTATAGGAAGTGGAGTAGCCAAAGAACTTACATGCATGACCCATGGACATAAACAATGGTGTGGGAATTGCCTGAGGTGGTCGGATTACTGGGTGGACAGAGGAACAAAGAGGGAAGAACTGGGACAACTGTAATACCATAATCAATAAAATATAATTAAAAATTTATAAGAAAAAGTGAATATTTTTCATTACATTATTTGTTTCAAAATATCTCTATTGTGATTTCAACAGTGGGGCATTTCTGGTTCACAGAATACTTTGCTTGGAATTATACTCTCACTTCTTTTCATTAATTTTTCTGATTTGTGCAGACATTAGCATGTAATTCAAAGTTATTCTGTGGATAAAATTGATTTTTTCATATTTTTTCTGGGCTTAATATGTACATGATACCTTAAAACTATTTAGACTTGTTTTGCATTTACAAAGCCATCTTGTATCTACTAGCTCATTCAAATCTCAAAGGCTCAAAGGAAGGCAAAGCAGTCATGGATGAGAAAATTTAGGAGGGAACCATAAAGTGATGTCTTCAAAGATACACTTCTCACATTAAATGTTAACAAGGAAACTGTTATTAAACATACACAATGATTAAAAAAGATGATACCATATGATCTCACCTTTAACCGGAACCTAAACAACAAAACAAAGAAACAAGCAAAATATAACCAAAGACACTGAAATAGAGAACAGGCTGACAGTGACCACAGGGGAGAGGGGAGGGAATTTCAGGGGAAAGGTTTGCAGGAACAAGTATAAAGGACACATGGACAAAAAGTAGGGGGGAGTAGAAATGGGAGGGAAGTGGGGAGGGCTGGGGGGTTGGGCTGGGATGGAAGTAAAAGACATAAAACTATTTGAACAACAATTAAAATAAAAATTAAAAAAAAAGACAGTATTATGCATCCATGAAATACTGGCCCATGTCTTTGGTTCCTTATCTGTAAAATGTTAATAATAATTACTTTTACCTCAATAAGAGTAAAGATCATGCAGACTGTGGAATAATTCTGGGACCCATTCCTCCATAGCAATACACTGCTTCCCTTATGTGAAGAAGCGGATCCCTGTCATGTACCAACACCACACAGACCTGAACCCCATTGAAGTGGCCATTGATGAGATGAGTAAGAAGGTGGCTGAGCTTCGGCAGCTGTGCTCCTCAGCTGAAGTGGACATGATCAAACTACAGCTGAAACTCCAGGGCAGCGTGAGTGTTCAGGTAAGCCAAGCACCAATCAAAGCAAACCACAGCACAATGAAGGGAAAGACTCCTGATTTAAGTTGTTGGAAAAATTCAGGCCATTCACACCAGCAAGATCTGGTGTAGATCTCTTGCTTTAACAGTGATCCCCTTACCTACCCCCAGTGTCTATGCAGTTTCTCCTGATACCAGAGTGGCAGTAGCCTTAGGGACTCCTTCTTCCCCACCACCTGCAAAAATGTCATTCTCACTAAACTGTTTGCCAGAGGCAGGAGACAGCTCTCCATGCTAACCTGACTTTTTTTTTGTTGGTAATTTGGGGGATTTGGGGTGCCTAGCTGGGTGCATTAAGACCCTTCTAAATGTAAAGAAGTGTGGTTCTTTTATATAAAAGAATCTTTTATAAAAGGTTCTTTTATAAAACTGTTGTTTTATGGTTTCTCAAAAAATTGTTATCTGAAAAAGAACGTTAAGTTTTACTCTCTTAAGGGTATATTTTGATTAACATAATTCTTTATTTTTAATATAGCTCAATAGATGAATTTTTTTCTTTGCTGGTAACATTTTTCTAGTCCACTTTAAAAAAGTCTGTTCTTAAGAGAATATCTTTGAGACATATGTATGTTTTCCTTCTTTGTTTAACATTCCTATGTAGATTGCAGTCCCATCTAGAATTGATTTTTGCATGTGGTAGTAGATAGCCACATTTTTTTGCATATAGCCATCCAAGTGATGTGTACCATTTATGGAAAGGGTCACCATTGATCTAGGTAATGATTGTATAAATATGTTCTGTTTATGAAAGTTCAGCTATGCATGTACATTATGTGCACTTTTCTGTTTGTACATTACACTTCAAAAATACATTTTTAAAAGGTTTCTTGTGTGGTTTCCTAAGAAATTGGTAAATGTTAAATCACCTCCTTCCAGTGACCAGAATGCCTTACTTTATTTGTATTTTTAAATGTTTATAAGTAATTCTAGCACATGTTTGTGTGTGTTTATATGTATCTCCACTTTTTTTCTCTTTCAAGAAGGATGTTTATGAAAGTTACATGTAGATTGTAATACATAGATTTTAGGGTTTCCTTGGTTCATTTTCTGAAATCAGTTTTTGTCAACTTTTTATCAGATTCATGCTGAGTTGCTGCATAACCTTTTTCTAAATGTTGCTGAGTTGCTGCATAACCTTTTTCTAAATGTCATTCACCAGAAAAAGTATTTATAGATGTTTTCAGCCTCTTTTCTTATGGCCCAGAGACTTAGGTATCTAAATGAGTTATCAAGTGAATGTGATAATTATTTCAGCAAGGTCAGTCCAGGGGCCACAATTTTCTTCAACTAAAAACAAAACCACTCAGTAACATGACCCAGGAACATCCAGCCTCTATCAAAAGGCCTGCAGAAGGGTGTGGGTGGCAGTAAAATGTGGGGCTGGGCAGGTTGAGCTTTCTAAAGGGCAAAATGTGCCCTGCCATTGGACTGTGACCTTAGACTTTTACAAATATGCAGTACCTTAAAAAGCAAAGAATTGCATAATGAAGTTAGATTAATTTTATATGTCTGTACCCACCAAGGTCAACACAAAGTTACAGCCAGAGGAAATTAGCTTTATCACTTTATTTGTGATTTCTGTAGTTCTTTCACCAAGAGCCTCACTGGGGTTGCTATTGTATAGGACAGAACTATCAGGGTGGCTTCATGGGACTGTGCTCCAATATCTTGTTATATTAGAATTTATGAAGTTTCATCAACTTTCCCCTTTGATATTCTTAAAATTGAATATAGTTATCCCTTGGTATCTGTGCAGAATTGGCTCCAGGAACCCCTGGGGATACCAAAATCCATGGACACTCAAGCCCCTTTCATAAAATGACATAGTATTTGCATATAACCTACATACATCCTCCAGCATACTTTAAATCATCTGTAGACTGCTTATAATGCCTAATACTGTATAAGTAGGTGTTATATGTATTATTTAGGATAAAATAGCAAGAAAAAAGTCTGCACATGTTCAGAACAGAAATACCCATCTTAGGTCTAACTACATAGTACATGTCAGCAACAATGTAACTTTTTTAAAAAAATATTTTTGGCCCATGGTTAGTTAAATCTGCAGATGCAGAACTTTCAGATACAGAGCCAACTGCATATGTATCATTTAGGAGAATTGGTCATTTGGCTCATCTTTTAACATAGTTTTTTTTGTTGTTTGTTTGTTTTTTAAACATTGGTATTATTGTTTTTAAAGATTTTATTTATTTATTTAGAGAGAGGGGAAGGAAGGGAGAAAGAGAGGGAGAGAAACATCAATGATGGTTGCCTCTTACACTCACCCAACTCGGGACCTGGCCCGCATGTGCTCTGACTGAGAATCTAACTGGCCACCCTTTGGTTCGCAGCCCGCACTCAATTCACTGAGCTGCACCAGCCAGGGCTTAACATAGTTTTTAACATAGTTTCACACACACACATCCAGTTTGGAAGGTTAGCACATTCAATCATCATAATAAGTTAGCTAGTAGTTCCTGTCTCAAGGGCCCTCCTCCGGTATGAATTCCCATACCTCAGATTTCCTGCCATTGCTGTGTAAGTCGTGCACACCATGGATCAGAAACACAGCCCACAGCAGTAAACAGCAACAAAAAAAGACAGATGGCTCTCCCTACTTACTTACCTTCCAAGCCCACCAGACCTTCCAGGAAAAATATGCAGTGATCATGGGGTAAAGTCCTTTCCCAGGCTGTCTCAGATGTCTGGAATTTTCTCCATCCCATTCAGTGTGTCTAACTTTCTCTTTATCTCTATTCACACATTACCTGACTTACCCAACCAACTTCAGATAACTTTTCTTGGTTAATTGAGACATTCAAGGTTCTGATTCACATACCCTGTGGCTCTTTGGCCTTCCCGCACACCTCAGATGGTTACTTCATCCGAAGATAACAGATCAGTTTGCCATGGCTGTCTACATAATTCAATGAGATGAACAGTTGGTTTTTTAAAAATTGGCATACATACTATATTATTTTCAGTTTTTCCCTGAACTCACCAGGTTGAATATAATGTGGCACAAATATCAATTGGAAGACTTGGGCTTTGATCTAAGGTGTTTCACTTATTGGATGTTTGACTTTGAATAGTCCTTACATTTTCCAAGCTTTGGTTCTTCCTACATAAAATAACCCATCATCAGAAGTGCCCTGAGGATGGCTGAAATAGTAAAATCAAATGACATGTAACAGTAGAAGCTTTCATCATGGTTTCCTCTTTAGGGTTGTAAGTTCCTGGAGGACAGGGTTCGTGACTAACTCAAACATCATTTTTAGCACCTGCCAACTGAAACTAAATCACTGCTAAGATCATTTTCTTAATAACATAATTTTAAATCTTTGTGTTTTTTCTAGGTCAATGCTGGTCCACTAGCATATGCCCGAGCTTTCTTGGATGACACAAACACAAAAAGATATCCTGACAATAAAGTGAAGTTGCTTAAAGAAGTTTTCAGGTAAAGTACATGGGAAGTGTCTTTTTCTCTTCAAGTATTAACAATTTCTGTGCTCACTCAAGGAAGATACACTTGGACTCATTCTTTGTTCTCAACATGCCTTTATTTCCCTCCCCCATACCATTTCAGGCAATTTGTGGAAGCTTGTGGTCAAGCCTTAGCAGTAAATGAACGTCTCATTAAAGAAGACCAGTTAGAGTACCAGGAAGAAATGAAGGCCAACTACAGGGAAATGGCAAAAGAGCTTTCTGAAATCATGCATGAGCAGGTAAGTGCCACAGTGGAGTTCTACCCATTTTTAGGGAGCATGTTGGGGTCTTAGGTATACTCTATAATAGCCTATACCTTCTGACATCCTTCCAGAATTTTGAGAATAATATAGCCCACTATACTGCTGCTACCATCTAACCACAGGTTACCTGGAAAACAACTAACAAATGCCTGGCTATGTTTATCCAATCTGATCAGAGGAGAGCAGCTTCCACCTCCTCTTCAACACTCTTAGAAGTGGCCCCTTCCCACTCCAATCTAGTTTAAAAAGAAAACATAAAAAAGAAATACCCATACTGTTCCCAGAATTTTCTTTATTCACCCACTCCTTTGAAAGAACAGGTTTAGCAGCCTGTTTAAGGAGTTATCTGTTTTATTAAATTTCTTTTGCTATTTACAAAAATAGGGTTATTCAATTTTTTATTATTTACAGCTGACCTGAGTACCCCAGTGTATTCTTCTTGGCTACTTCTGTATTCCTTGTCATTATGGGATGTTGTCTGATTATACTGCTGCTATCACCTGTAAGAATTCCTTTCAGTGGAATCACGTATGTGAGCTCAGTAGTTATCAGAGGGGACAGATACCCAAGGAACCCAATAAATGTCAGATAGCAGCTTCCACATAATTTCAGAGAGGTCTGTTCTCCATCAACCATAGTCACTCCTTCCAAGTCATAGTGCCAGTCTTAATAATTAGTGTTAGTACCTTGATAACACAGAACTAGTTTTTCTGTTCCCTACAATATTGCCTTTCAGTCTTGCAAAATGGAAGCCAGGACCATTTGTGTCAATTAACTATCATGTGATGATTTAGTTAGGAAATTTCTGTTGTAGGAAAGTAAATGCCTAAGCTTTAATTTGCGTACTTTTTTTCTTTTTCATGCTGACACATTCAGATGGGATGGTAATGTCATTTTTTAATTTTATTTTTTCTGAAATTTGATAATCTGACTCATAAAGTTATTCCTGAGTTTGGGCAACTTCAGACATTGGCATAATGACAAATGCATGTCCAAAAGAATGCATCCCTCTTCTGGGCACTTAGAGAAGTAGAAAAAAAATGAAATAACTAAAGATACTAATGTGTGAATACTTAACCAGAACATGAGAGTCTCATGGAGGGCAAGTGTTTGGAGAACACTAAAGGTCTTTTCCATAGGACCTTCAGATTCCTGTAGAATGGAGAGTGTGTGTGATCAGTGGGTGCCAGCATTTGGCACTAGAAAAGGTGAAAGAAAAAGAATTATGGACTGAAAATATTAAAATAAACTCCCAGATTATATGGACATTTGGTACAGTGCTGTGCTCTAAACTTGAACTTTCTGTTATCTCAGCAACTATGAAGATTAAATTCCTTTGCACCCTTAAGGAAAAAGAGTCATAACCTGGAGTAGACTTGCTTTTGGCTTTTCCAGGGGAGCCTCTGAGTGTGTATGTTCTCCATTTCTACCTTAGAATACTTTCTGGCATTACTGAATGCAAAAAGAGACTTGTTCAGGGTCAAAGGGGCAGCCACTGTCTCTGTCCCAGGATGGAAATCTGTAAGACCCTGAGAAAGGAGCCAGTAGAGAAACATAGATGCTCCAGGTTCATTTTAAGAGTTTTCTAAGGGACAAAGCTAGGTCATGTCCCCATAAAGTATGTGTAGCATAGACTTGAAGACAACTTATAATCTGGTAAGTCTAGAAGGCTAGTCTACTCACTGGTTTGTAAAGGAAACAAAACATGTTCTGGACTTTCTCCTTATAATCCTGATCTGAAAAATGGCACTTACTAGATAAGCCAACACAATCCTTCTGCAAGTCCCCAAAGCCAAACTATCTATCTGAGCAGACCATCATTTGCAGTAACAATTACCATTGGATGGTAAATCGTGTGTGTTTAATGAAACATATCATTTTGAGAAATGTTACTCAGGGCATTACACTTGGGTAATGTTGTGTTTCTGTGCCTCAAGATTTGCCCTCTGGAGAAGACAAGCGTTTTACCGAATTCCCTTCATATCTTCAATGCCATCAGTGGGACTCCAACAGGCACAATGGTTCACGGAATGACCAGCTCGTCCTCAGTTCTGTGATTCGTCTCATGAACCGCGTGTGGGGATTTGCTTTGTCATTTGCAAACTCAGGATGATTTTCAGAGCTAATCACAGGGCTCGTGCAAGACACTGGGAAACCAAGCACAAGGAGAAATCAGGGGAATAGGAGAGAAAAGTAATGTAGAACTGTGTTATGTCATAGCAGATTTTTTTAGAGGAGTCATAAGAGGACACATTTTTTTTTTTAAATCTCACTGTCAATATTCAAAGTTTTCATTCTGTCTTAACAGAAGTGTGTGTGGTGGATACTAATAAACTGAAGTTAGATTTTATTTTCCATACAGAGTAGTATTAAAATAAATGGCCTAGAGAAAACAAGTGTTCTGAAATAAACATAGCAGGGACAGTAGCACTGAAACTGAGGCTGGGGTAACCCTTTGCCTCTGGGCTAAGCTGGAAAATCTTGAAAATATTTTTTTTCCTGTGGCACATTCAGGTTGAATACAAGAACTATTTTTGTGACTAGTTTTTGATGACCTAAGGGAACTGACCATCATAATTTTTGTACTAGTGATCAAGGAGGTTTAGTGCTTTTATACATATTTACTTTATCTAAAAAACAGGAAGGCTTAAGAAACTATGTGAGCTTAAAACTAGTCAAGCAGTTTAGAACCAAAGGCCTATGTTAATAGGCCTTTATAACATAACTGTTAGAAAGTTTAAAGTAATACAGTATATTGTTGTGTACATAAAGTTTGTTAATACAGTCTCAGCATTCTGTACATATATGTGTTACATTTTTACATTTTTAATACTCCTCACATCAGCTTCTGCATTAAGTTTTATTGTGACAAATTTGTGCTGTTCCTAGCATATGCAAGACATTTGACTTTACTGTTTTATTCTTGTAAATGAAAAGTGCAATATGGAGATGTACACAATCTTTGCTATGTTAGGTTTATAAACTTCTAAAAAGTTCATCCTTTTGCCAAAGTGGTAGAGTATGTAACTGGTAAAACATAAATCCTGTGGTGAAAATGGTGTGATTTAAAGCTTTCATCATGTTATATTCTTTGGAGACATTAATTTAGCAATTTTATATTGGGGAAAATAAAGGTTTTTAATTTTATTTAACTAGATCCTCTGCCCTGCTGTAATTAAATATTCTGTACCACATCCGTATTAAAAATATGCTGATTTTCTGGTGATGAATATTGAGTATTTATTGTTTAATTGTCCTGAGAGGGACAGGATATTGAAATACTTAAGAATGAAAAAACATGATATATGAAATTTAATATAAAATACTTGAAAAAAAAGAGGTAGGTAGATGAAACAAGATTGACAAATGTTGGTAATTCTTAAAGCTAAAGCAGGGTACAAGGGAAGCGTTATATCAGTTTTTCTGTCTTTTGTAAGTTTCCATGATACAAATGTCAACAGGCAGGTGTAGGGATCAGATCTTCCAGAGAAATTGGATAAACGCTTTGCTGCACCATGGTCTGGCTCTGAATTCTACTATTGTTCCCCAAGTATATGCAGACACTGTATTACCTCCCACTTTTGCTTTTCAACTGTATCAAGGCTTCCACTTTTTCATCACTCTTACTTGCTTTGAGATGAATACTCTGGGACAAAGTCATTATTTATTCCAGCAATGCATTGGTAGCCATGTGTGTACACACTCCCTGTGCTCTATGGTATCACAAACACTGAACCCAAGTCAAGTGATGGTTCAAACTGTAGGTGCCAGTCCTGCCTTTAGTGTGCCCAGTGACCCAGAAGGTGTGTCCGTTCATTGTCACTCAGCCCCATATAGTTCCAGTGGTGGAAGAACTTTTCCCACAAGAAATAAAATGGCTGGTTTTCTACCTGAAGGGTTTTAAAGGTTGTCCTTTTACATAACCAGTTGAGGAAAGAAAATGTGATAGTGTGTACATCTTGAGCACCCAGATGCCAAGGATCTTTTGATGTCTTTGAAATGTTCCATATCAGTGGTAAGGCTATCTTTTTACAGAGGGAGACAAGGTCATGAAGAGATGGTGAAGTGTTATGGAAACTTACCAGAGTCCACAGCCCATTCATTAGTGGATCCAGATTTAAGGCTTGAGAAATTTTCCTATGTAAGTTTGGTGAGGGTCTGATATCCCCAGCCCTTCACTCTCATCAGCAGGAATGGGCATTGTCTCTTTTGCTACTGAGCTGGATTTCTTACTTATAAATGTCTCATTTACAAGCCATAAAATTCAAGTCACCATGTAGAAATATAAATACAAGTCTAGAAAGAGCTAACCTGCTATCTTGTCTTTAAACTTGGAGAGTAACCTGTACCAATGCCAATGTCAGATAAGATTCAGCTTGGAAGGTGACCACCTTCATTTATTACAACAGTGGAGAAAGGAGCCATCTCTAAGTTGAGGACAGCTGCTATTGACCCTGCAATGACACAATGCATATCAATTAAAAACCTCATTTAGTTTTTTGTATCTAAATGTAATTTCAATATGAAGTTATATATTAAAGTAGCAATTTATTGGATAAATTTTTAACATTAAAGAATCTTTATTATAGTTTTTCAGTAAATTTTTTTAGTGTTTCCCATAAATCTTATTTTTTGAAATAAGTATATAACAAACTTTACCATTTTAACTATTTTTGATTATACAATTTGGTGGCATTAAGTATATTTTCATTGTTGTGCACCCATCATCATCCATACACAAAACTTTTTCATATTCCAAACAGAAACTCTGTACTTATTAACCAATTAATTGCATATTCCCCCTTTGGGAAAATTGTTTTTGAAGTAACCTAGAAATTAAAACTCCAGTTAATACTTTCTCAGGCATATTTGCTACCTGGGACCTAACTAACTCTAGGTAGTATACATAAACAGGGCCAGTCCCTTGCATGGAAAAAGCTACTGAGACTAAGGATGGAAAATTGAAAGGTAACTTAGAAATAACCATGAGTACTTGTTTAACCATGTTACAGAGTTACTCTATATAGAAATTCCATTCAAAAAATACTTGTTTCCCATCAACAGGGGATGTGTTACATAAACTATCATGCATATAGCATGATCTTCAGGATACTGTAAGTGAAAAACCTAAGATAGAGAAAAGTGTGAATAGTATAGTACCAATTATTTAAGAAAAGAGGAATATATAAACACATATTTGTTTTTTTATATGGAAACCAAAAACAATGTTTTAAGTTACTACCTATAGGGGGAGAGAGAATAATATATAGGGAATGGGATTAGAAAATAAACCTATGCAAATATAAATTGCTTTATATATTTGGCTTTAGAATCATGTGAGTATTTATATAATTATTTAAATGATTTTTTTAATTTCTAAAAGTTGAAGGCAAATGAAATAAACAAAGAAATAGCAGGTTGGTGATAAATACACAGGAATTATTTTAAATGACTATAGAAATTTCACTGGGATATACTTAACAAAACTAGTGGCAATAAATAAATGATTAGTAATAAAAACCATTTTTAGTAATTGTTTTACTTGTGGAAGCAGTGTATTATTTTTTATGAGATTGTATTGCTTTTCTGAGACTTTATTGCTAGAGAAAGTGAATAAATGTTGAAATCATTGGGAATAAAGCTTTTGTCATGGAAGAAAAAAGGTGCATCTATAAGACCAAAGAAGTTAAATGAAAACTTGTTAGTTCTGAATTTGATATGGAAATACCAATTTGAACTTATGATAGATTTTTCTTAAGCACATACATGCTTATTTCTTAAGTTGGTTCACTAACAAGGCCTAAAAACAATGACCAAGCCAGTAGCTAGTAATCAGCCCTAAATGCCAAAAGCCTGTTGTCTAAATGCCTTTTCTACCGAAAGGATCCAGGGCTCCCTGGGGAAAGGCTGATTCTAAATTCAGGGCAAAACATGTCCAAAATTAGCCTGGAGCGTCTTTTTTTTACCAGGTATCCAGGGGACTGGCAAACACACCTGGGACCCTGTCAAAAGAATTTAAAGAAGTTCCTTTTAGATAGACATAGGATGCAGATCAACAAGAATAATAATAGCAATAGATAGAAATTATATTAAATTCTCGAGTTCATGATATTACCAGAAAAAGAAAACTGGTAACTATGAAGGAGTTAGTATTACCAAGAAAGACTAAGACATCATGTGCCTCATTATAAAAGATTAAAGATTCTCTTGATATGGCTTATCTATATACTACATAAAGCAGATATACTTTTCCCTATCCCTTTTACTAAATACAATTTAAACCCTGGCCATTATACATTTAAAAAGAAGATTCTGACAGAGTGAAGAAAGTAGACCAAATAGGGACCTTGGGATCCAAAGAATGATACAGGGGGAAGTTCCTGTTTTTCTTATTGCCTCATATATCCCATACTTGGAGCTGAAGAAGCCAGCAACAAGAAAATGCCTACAGGCACAGACCCAAAAGATCAATACTACTTCACACCCAGTATGATGGCTATTCTTAAAAGGAAAGCAGAGGGAAGGGAGAGGGGAGGAAAGGGAAAGGAAACATGCCCTGGCTGGTGTGGCTCAGTGGACTAAGTGCCAGCCTGAGAACGAACCAAAGGGTTGCTGATTTGATTCCCCGTCAGGGCACATGCCTTGGTTGCCCACCAGGTCCCCAGTTGGGGGCATGTGAGAGGCAACCACACATTGATGTTTCTCTCCTTCTCTTTCCCCCTCCCTTCCCCTCTAAAAATAAATTTTAAGAATCTAAAAAAAACAAAGTAGCGAGGAAATTAGAACCCCTGTGCATTGCTGTGGGAATGAGATTGTGTAGCTCCTGTGGAAAATGGTATGATTTTTAAAAAATTACCCATAGAATTACCATATGATCTAGCAATTCCACTTTTGGTGCTATGCCCAAAAGCAATGAAAGTGAGAAGTGAATCATATTGTACACCCATATTCATAGAAGCATTATTCACAGCAGCCAAAAGATGAAAACAACCTAATGTTCATTGATGGATGAAAAGATAAGAAAAATGTGGCATATAATAAATACAACAATATTATTCTGCCTTAAAAGAAGGAAATTCTAGCACACTACAATACTAATGAACCTTGAGGACATTATGCTTAGTGAAATAAGCCAGACACAAAAGGATGATCCTACTCATATGAGGTACCTAAAGCAGTCAAATTCATAGACAGTAGCAAGGTGGTTGCCAGGATCTTCAAAGAGGAAAACTGGGGAGTTAGTGTTTAACTGGTACACAGTTTCAGTTGGGTAAGTTAAAAATTTAGGGATGGGTGGTGGTGATGGTTGCACAATAATATAAATATACTTACTGCCACAGAACTGTATGCATTAAAATGGTTAAAATGGAAACTAGTCCTCTGTTGGGTATGTTGGTTTGCAAGTATTTTCTCCCAGTCTGTAGCTTGCATTTTCATCCTCTTAGCATCATAAGAGCAGAAGTTTTTACTTTTAGAACTGGCTCTTTTCACTATAATTCTCTAGACAATCCTCTTAGAACATGACATTTCACTGGAAAGGGTAGACAGATGGCAAATAAAGAAAAGATACTCAGCATCATTAGCCATGAGGATAATGCAAATCAGAGCTATGTATGATGAGAGGTCACTACACAACTGGCCAGGGTGACTAAAATCACATGTAGAGACAACACCAAATACTGGTGAGAGAGACTAGATCACTCATCTTTTGTTGGTAGAAAGTAAAATGGCACAGCCACTCTGTAAAATGTTCTTAAAAAGCTAAGTATGTAAAGACCATATCACCCAGAAATTGCACTCTTGGTCACTTGTCCCAGAGAAATGAAAATTTATATTCATACAAAAACCTATACAGAAATGTTATAGCAACTTTATATACAATATAATAACCCCCATTGGAAACAACCTAGATGCTGTTCAACAGGTAAATAGATGACTGGTACATCCAGGCCAGAGTGCTACTCAGCAGTAAAGCAATGAACTACTGACACTCACAAGGACCTGTGACAGTCTGGGGAATTATGCTGAGTGAGAAAAACCAGTCCTAAAAGGTTACGTACGGTACGATTCTATTTATATAACATTCTTGAAATGACAGAATTATAGATATGGATACCAGATTACTGGTTGGCAGGGATTAAATAGGAGGTTGGATGAAAGGGAAGTTGGGGGCTGTGAAAGGTTAGCATGAAGGATCCCTGAAGCTTCCTGCTGCCTGTTCTGTCT